CAGACACTCCACCGGAGTTGATTGAAACATGCGCGAAACCAAACAAAAACCTAAAGCTACCAGAGCCCCTTGACAGCTCTGAAACCAATTGACGAAAAAAAAGGAACTGCACACAGCAAATTTCCATTAAACTTACGATATACAAAGCTCACCTGAGATGTGGGTGACATTCCTCCAAACCAGGGGACATCCACTTTGGGTGGCGGATATTTACATATATATATATACAATGGCCTCCAAGTCTCCTGCTCAGTTCCTGCAGGGTCCTCGCAGTTCTGTTCTTTTGCAAGCTCCACAAGGCGTTGCAGCTGGGAACGCAACACCTCTGGAGCACTGGAAATCTCCAAGACGGTATCCTGGGCTGTGAGAACGTCGCAACCACCATTCCAAGCAAACAAGTAAAACGGCCTTGATCAAAAATATCCTGGCAGGAGAACCCCCACAGATCCAAACAGTGTGTCTATATAAAGGTCTACGGTCTGAAGGTCTAGAAGCAAAAGGTCTAGAGATCTAGACGCATTGGGTTCCAGAGAGAGGTAAACGTGGTGATGGTGGTGGTGGTGGTGATACAGGTGGTGATCTTGGTGATGGTGGTGGTGGCGAGGTGGTGGAGATGATGGTGGTGATGATGGTGGTGATGGTGGTGGCGATGATGGTGCTGATGGCGGTGATGGTGGTGGCGATGGTGGTGGAGATGGTGGTGGAGATGAAGATGGTGGTGGGGGTGATAGTGGTCATGGTGGTGGCAGTGATGTTAATGGTGGTGGTGGTGATGGTGGTGTGGTGGTGGTGATGGCGGCGGCGGTCTAGGGGTGGAGGTCTAGAGAGCACACATATGCAAGGATGTTAAGGCACGCGCACATGGGGCACATTTGCTGTGCCTCCCACGAAGTCTGCACTTCTGCGCCTGCCATCAAGCCTACACTTCAAGGTCCATAAAATACTGCGCCTGCCACGAAATCTGAGGCCGGAGCACTTCCAAAGACAAGATCAAGATGCCAAAGCGCAGCTTTCGCTCGAGACTTCCTCCGACTTCTGACAACGAACCGCATGTCTAAAAGTCACGAGTCACTGCACCTGCCATGAAATCAGAGCATGCCGAAGACCACCACCGTGTCCAAAGTATACTGCACTCCGATCTCCTGCACCTGTCGCGAAAGTCGACTTAGACCACCAAAGCACGAGGTTCCCTTGCCACAAAAAGTGATCACCAAGTCGAAAAATGTGCACGGCACCACAACGAGTCGAGAAGAACACCCACGCCAGCCCACCAGATTCTGTGAGCCTGCGCAGTCGAAATGCACTTCGAAGATCTCGAGGTGAATGAATGTACTGTAAATAGCAGCGAATTAGCCGGACACGCCGATGAGCACCTCGATCAAACACCCGTCCTTAACAACTACCGCAAGAACCCCTAGTGTGGACACACTGTTTGAGGAAATATCAAAGAACCACAAATGATGCTTTGCCAGGTAATTGGAATTCATCTGTGTTGGAAGGATGGTAAGAATGGCTTGGATGTCTTTCTCTTTCGAAAAATTCCGGGTCCCATGTTGATGTTTGTGAACAAGGCCTAGGGTCAAAACCAAGTATATAGCTGTCCGACTTTCTTCAGGATAAAGTGAACCTCCTGATCTACCCGTGGGTTGAGACCATGCTGAGACCACCCCAAACACCTATTAGATCAACACGCCCAGCAAACCATTCCATTTACAGTAATTATCTCAGGTTGGTACGGGCACATTCTGTTATTGATAGTTTACAGAGTCTACAGGCATTTGTCAATCCAAGACTCCGGACTCTTGCCGAAACGCTCCTGGTACAATCGGTCCATTGCACTGCTGACAATGAACATTTCAAAGCTCTCAACATCAAATGCCATAAAAAGGTCTTCGCTTGCCACCACCTCCCTAGAACCTCCAAGTGGGTACAGTCAGGGGCCGTCGGATCAGCTTTGCACACAAGGGAACAGAACTCACATCCCAACAGAACGCCAAAAGTCATCAAAAGCGTTGTTGACAGCTTCTACACCCGTCTACGCTCTTGGCTTGATGTTTGATGGCATGTGGAACCGAAAGAGTGATTAGCCTTTTTTGGTCCGCTCTGCTCTCCTACTCAATCAAGTAGGCGCCTACATAATTAAGTAAGGGGCAAAGTTAGCTTCTAGGCAGGATGCAGGATAGCTCACACACTGACTAATGATTTGGTTTCTAGATTTTTAGGAAACTTAACAAACTCAAGATTGGACAACTCAACTTAAAGTCGCTTTCTCATGTACCCGGGGTCATTTGAACACTTGTCCAAATTGAGCAGGGCAATCTGAATTGTTTGAACTGCCCAGGAACAGCAGCTGGAAGTCGCTTGTGGAATCAGTAGGGGTTCATCTGAAAGCTCGCGCAAGCCAACCAAAAAGAATCGCTGATTTGCAAGGCTTCGGAACTGAGCATGGAAGAGCTCCACTTTCACAGGACGCTGATCCTTGGGTGTTAAAGGATACCTCTTAGCAAAAGGTTTCAGTTTCAGTCTATTTTGCACCACATGTTTTGGGTAATTGGAAGAATCAAATCTAATCTAGATGGAAGATATGTGATATAGATAATGTATATTATATATATATAAAGCGTATAAAGCTAACTAAATATGACATATGGTGGGCGGATCTTTCCAGCCTGACCATGGCCCCACCGGAGATGTTGTCCATTCAAGACATCCAAGGATCCAAGGTCAACATGTCAACGTGCAGCGCCATCACAGAGGTGCTCTCTGCGTTGATAGAGCTTTGAACTTGCTGTGAGATGCGCTTTTGGTCCTCCTTTGTAAAGAAGTCCAGCAAGGATCTCCTCACCTTGCGGTGGTGCTACAAAAGCTGGACTGGCCTTGTCCTCTTCAAGCCACCCGCAAAAGACAGCCAAAGAAGGCAAATCAAATCAAATACATATGGGGTGAGTTTTGAGGAGAGCCAAGGTATGCGGGGGCACACATTCGTCCAGGAACTTGGGTCCGGTGCAAAAGTGCTCGAAATCACCCACCGTTCAACAGGTGAGCGGGCCTGACCCGTGCTCGAAATCGTTCTCAAACCGACGGTGTGGAGGGTGCCAAAAGGCCTAACTCCACAACCCTTCCATGTGAATCGAACATTTCTGGGATCGAACTCGGAGTCCGTTGCTATCAGCAGGTGGACCGAGGTGCGGTGGCGGAGCACCAAGAGAACTGGGCGCTGGGTCTACTCCTTTGAGAAACAACTCTGGAAGCCGGTGACTACGAGATACGCGGGCCGGGGAGGTGTACCCGCTGTCACAGCGGCGGCCAAGGGCTCGGCGGCTCACTAGAGCTCGCTGGACCCCGGGCCATTTTCCGGCCAAGTAGCTTCTCTGGATTCGGAGTCGCTACATCCCAACATGGTGGACAGCTGCCGAGCATCGCCCAGCAGCTTCCATGTTTCATCCACCTCCACGACGGCATCATAGGAAGCGTTTAGTAAGGAGCACACCGCGCCCAACTCAATCGTCCTTCCGTCCTGAAAAGGACAAGGGATGTTTTTGGTTCGACCAGGTTCGAAAGGTGGTTTCTCCAAAAGTCCCCACAGCTGGCTTTCCAGCAAACACGTCTGGAATCCTGCTTAATCCAAGCTAAGCTTCCAGGGCCTGCTTCAACATGGCGTTGTCCTCCATCATTTTCCGAGCGATGTAAAGGCCCACTGCCATCAATACCATCACACTGAAGAGAAGATTAGGAAGCGGGGCTTGTTGGATTTGGCTGCCGCACACATGCATGTCAGATTGCACTGAGGCCATCCAACCTACTTGCAAGAAGTTCAACAACAAACAAATGATCACAGTGGAATGGCGGCGGGCCATCACGGAGAAAACAAAGCGCACGGTAAAACTCACTGTCACCACATCCCTTGCATCAACACGATCTGACAGAGGAAGAAGGCTGATATTCCAAGCCAGAAAACATACAATAACTGCGGCATCCAGTGTCTTGGGAGTGATGATCTGAGGCTTCCAAGTCACCAACAGTGCCCCAAAGCCCTGTACAAAGTAGACAATATCCATCGGAGGCATGGAATGCTTCGTTCCAAAGGCCGTAAGAATCTGCCCAAGAAACGTTCGAAGGATGACGACGGCCAAGATCAATCGCCAGATTTGACAAACGGTCTTGCACCGCAACAAGTCCAACTCCTCCACGGTCTGCTGGCTCATCGGCCTGCGACACCAGTTCACCAGTTTTTGGAAGATGGCTCGTGAGGAAGGAATATGCCGTTTCGGATGCCACAGGTGTGACACCACGCATAACAAGGTCAAGAACTCAAGAGCCACAGCGGCCAGGTGGAAAGCTGCTTCCTCCATGGGATTTGCAAACCTGCCGCTTTGCCAACAGCTCAGGGATGGTGGACCTGCCCTGGCCGAGTCGGTTCTGTGTGTTTCAGGTAACAACATGCCGTGATGCCGTGATGCCGTGATGCCAAACAAGTGCACAAACAGTTCTTTACTATTACTTTGTCAGTTTGAGATGAAACCTTTCGAAACTATGACTGGGCTCACTGAGGAGAAGTGGTCTGCTTCATAAGGATTGCAAGCCAACAGGGCATCCTTTCAGTGCGCGGCTTTGGACTGAAAACAGCGCTGCATCGTTTGGCGCGGCACTAGGACTGTCACAAAGGCTGCTTCGGTGGATCTCTACATCTGGTTTTGACTTCCATTCAAGATGTCGCTGTGGGCAAAACTGAATGGTCTGGTCCAGCACCTACAGTGGGAGACCTGTTTGATCTCAAGAAAGCCATGTATGGAGCTTCAGCTGTCTAGGAACAAAGGCTCGATCTACAGCACCCTAGTCAGCAGCGACGCTCTTTTGAGGTCTAATACACCAGGTTCCTCTTCAGGGAGAAAAATAGTGAAATACTGTCATGTGACACAACACATCACTCACCGCATCTGGAAACCCGAGAGCTCTAGCTTTCTTCTCCTTTTTTCAGCGGCGCAGCTCAGTACAAGTGTTCAGGCGTCTAAGTCTTCACGATGCCTTTTCTTGTCCTTCTTGTCCTTCTTCTTTTTCTTATCTTTTTTATCCTGAAACACTGCACATTTGAGGCCTCTGAGTGCACCCGCCCCACATGGAAATAGGCGACGCGAAAGACATTCCTTTCAAGCGCACGAGCTCACACAGCAGGCCTCTTTCTCTTTGTCTTTTTTATCCTTTTTGTCTTTCTTCTTCTTTTTCTCCTTCTTCTCCTTAGCAAAAGTCCCTTGCTCTTTGCTTGGCCAGTCTATAGCCAGGATGCCGCCACAAGTTCACCGGCCTCCTAAATATATTCAACAACTTCAACAACCTTACTTTCAGCCTAGGTACTCTAGATCCTAGATGGCTTTATATATATAATTATATATACATATGAGGTGACCCTGACAAACATAAAAAAAACGACATGACTCATGAGGTGACGCTGACAAACTGAGCAGGGCAAGCTTGAAGGCCCCATTGTGAGACATCCCATTCGGAGAATCAGGCGCATTCAAGGGGATGCGGCTCGGACATGATCCACACCGTTGTAGCATATTCTTCCTAGGCTTTAGATGGCAAGAGTCCTTCTCACGTGGCACAACAACTTCATCATCATCGAAAATTCCTTCAATGGCCTCTGGAACCGAGTCATCCTGCCGGGCAAGGACACGAAGGATGGCCCTACACAGGGCATGAACACAACTGGCATGAACCTACTGGTCAATTCAGCTCTCCTCGGTGAAAGAATGTTAAAGAAAAAGACCAGCTTCTGTGGAGGAAAGGCCACCTGGGTTGGTTGGGATCCCCCCCTGAGACAAAACAAACCAAACTCTTGGAGCGGTATGACAATTCTTTCCACATTTGCTGGATTCATCCTAATTAAATCAGTACTGGCGTTCCCGATCTCTGTTTATTTTGATGAAAGAAACAACAACAACAACAACAACAACAACAACAACAACAACAACAACAACA